CACTTCTTGTTAAGTTTTTGTAGAGTATGGGGCCTTAGGTGTAATCCTGAGCCCCACCCAGAACCTTCTAAGTTGGGAAGACATGTAGACCAACACAGAATTGCTGGGAGAATAGAAGATTCTTATTAAAAGACTTGGAATGTTTGGCTGTTTGAATTTCAAACTAGCTGTTTGCTTTGGAGGCATCTAAGCAAGAACTTGTCTATCAGTTTGTTATACTGTAGTGGCTTGTGAGTTGCTGTGATTCTGGAAGTTATGCTATGGGTATTTTACATACCAGCAGGGTCACCCATGAGGACAGGTTTCAGATGAGCTTCCAGATGAAGACAGACTAGGAAGAAGGAGAGGTGAACTACTTCCAAATATTTGGCCACTGAAAACCAAATAAATATCAGAGAAGCACTGTCAGATATAGTGCCAGAAAATGAGACCCTCAGATTGGAAGGCACTCAAAATGCAACTGGGAAGAGCTGCCTCCTCAAAGTAGAGTTGACTATGATGATGCAATGGAGTAAAGCCCTCAGGACCGTCATTTGCTGATAGGGCACAACTCAAAATGAAGAGAAACAGCTGTAAACATCCATTAATAATTGGAACATGGAGTGTACAAAGTATGAATCTAGGAATATTGGACATTGTCATTAATGAAATGGTGAAGGTGAAGAAAATGAAAACAAGTCCACAAGAGCCAAAATATGACCTTGAATATATATCCCACATGAATTTAGAGCTCATCTGAAGAATAGATTTGATGTAATAGACACTAAAAGACCGAAGACCAGAAGAATTGTGGAATGACATGAAGAACATCATACAGGAAGAAAGCAAAAAGACATTGAGAAGACAAGAAAGAAGAAAAAGATCAAAATGGATGTCAGAAGAGACTCTGAAACCTTTCTCCAGAGTAGAGATGCTAAAGCAAATGGAAGAAATCAGGTACAAGAGCTGAACAGAAATTTCAAAGGTCAGCTTGAGAAGACAAAGTCAAATATTATAATGAAATGTGCAAAGATCTGGAGTTAGAACACCAAAAGCAAAGAACACGCTCAGCAATTCTCAAGCTGAGGGAACTGAAGAAAAAATTCAAGTCTTGATTTT